ATGTATGAGAAAGCCACGTCCCAGCCATTAAGTAGCTGTGGTACTCACGGTATGAATGGGGAGTGTTATTCCTGGACAATCCATTAACTAGACTCAGCAAGACCCTCTTTCTTCATCTCCTTTTTGGCTTATAAACTTCCTAAGCACAGTTCCCTCACCTATGTATCTTCATTCCAGACTTCCCTTTCCTTGTGCACATTCAGTACTCAGTCATCCAAGGGGACAGGGAACTATTCATTTTATAAATCTATAAAAAGAGAGCCCTTATGATAGATTTATAAAAACATATCAGGTCCTTGACCTACATTGCTTCATTTTATCCCCACAACAACATTGTGCAGTGTCACTGACACTTTTCTGCCTTTGGTCTTTCTCTTACCCTGGTTTCACCAATGAGGACCTTGTCATAAAAAGAGGTTAAATAACGGCCTGATCTCATCAGTAGGAACTGGCTGAGCTGATGCACTTTCCCCTCCAACTGAGGTAAGCAGAATGAGTACAATGCAGCACCAGGCTGAAGACGTGCCCTGTCTAGTTGGGAGGCAAACAGTTTAAACATGTAATTATAGTAAAATGTGATGAATGCGGTAACAGAGGTTCATGTGGGGTAGCTTGGAAGTGGAGAGAGTGGCACAGACTTCTTATGGGAGAGCTGCTGACTCACCTCTTCAGAGGGCAGACCATTGCACTGAGCCTGAAGGGATGAGTGGGTGCCCACCAGGCAGAGGGTGGGGAAGGGAAGACTGAGGCTGAGGACAGGGTGTGCAAAGGAGCCCGCATGGCGGGGAGTGGGAAGCCACTGTGGGAGGCATGCATGTGTGCGTGGTTGCAGGCAGGTCACTAGGATGCAATCGCAGTTGGGCCAGGTTGAGAGGGCCATAGATTCCAAGGATTGTGGACACTTAGCCACACTTCCTGATTCTTCTAACTCCCCTAGCCAGGGCTCACACTTGTTGCTGCAACAGTTTCTCCCTTTACTTCTGGCCAGACTCTGGTGTTCTGGTGAGAAAGGGAAGAGTCTGTATCCGTGCCACCCTGAACGCACCTTATCTTGGAAGCTAAGGAGGTTCGGCTTGGGTTCGTACCTGAGTGGGAGAAAGGGAAGAGATGGAAAAGTCTTCTGTTTCATAGTGTCAGCCCCAAGAACCCATAGCGAATGCCTCAGATATCACTACTAACAATTATATTCCTTTGAGTCAATGAGCCATCCTCAGTTAAGACACAAATGAACTGAAAGAAGTTGCTCACTAACTTACTAGGTGCCAGCTTATTAAACATTAAAGCTTTTAAATACTAAGCTTATTCAATAGTTTATTAAATAGCTTGTTAAATAGGATACAAGGCAGTGTCATGTAGTGGATAAAAGTAATAATGATTATAATATTAAGAGCTAATATATACTGAGCACTCTCAATGGAACAGGACCTGGGCTAAGCACTTTACATGTGTTGTCCCTTTAACCCTGAAAAAAGTGCTACTGACATCTTTATTTCAGAGACTGAAATTCAGGGTGCTGAGGACTGAGCATGGAGCTACTTTCCCAAGCTCACACAGCAAAGACACCAGATTCCATCTACTGCAGGTTGTCTGACTGGGAACCCCCATGCACCTGGGAGGTGACAGAAATAGGAGGCATGTGCTGGGTTTGGAAGAGACTCCTGGTGAGAGAGAGCCCTGTTGGGCCTGATGGGGCTGAAAACAAATGTTGAGTGGGAGAAAAGTTGAGTTCCAGGGGCGCTACAAACAGCAGGATCTGCCTTTTATAAAGTCCAAAAACACTAAACCTCAACAACATGTTCTTTCAGCTTGCATTTATGTATGATAACAGTAATTTAAAAGCAAGGGAACAACACACAGTAGGAAAAATGTTCCCTTCTAGAAAGAAGGGGGCAGGGCAGGAGACAGGATGGGGAGGCGCACGTAAGTAGATGTAAATTACTGCTAATTTTTCTAGTCCTTGGTTTGAATGATGGGTTCATCAAGGCTCCATTACATAACTATGTGTTAAGTTTTTAAAGAATGCAATAAAAGAGCCAGATACAGTTTGCCTTGAACCACAATTATGAAAAAAAAAAAATCCAACTTTGTGCATCCAAGGACCAGATTTTTAAAAAATAAAGAATAAAAGGAATAAGAAATGAACAGCCAAGTACTCATTAACAAATTTAAGAAATAAAAGCTGACCAACATGGTGAAACCCCATCTCTACTAAAAATACAAAAATTAGCCAGGGGTGGTGGCTCATGCCTATAGTCCCAGCTACATGGGAAGCTGAGGCAGGAGAATCTCTTGAACCCAGGAGGTAGAGGTTGCAGTAAGCCGAGATGGTGCCACTGCACTCCAGCCTGGGTGACAGAGGCGACCATGTTTTAAAAAAGAAAGAAAAAGAGAGAAAAAAAAAGAAAAAGAAAACAGTGTATATATAGTTGAAGCTCCCTGTATTCCCATCCTCAATTCCTTTCCCATTTTTGTCCCCAGAAAACACCCCATTCTTGACTAGTGTTTTATGTTCCTTTGCTTTTCTTTTTAAAACTTCAATGCACACATATGCATCCATGAACAATGAATAGTGGTTTTTGCATGACTTAAAACATTAATAAAATTGTATTATTCTATACATAATAGCCTACTTCTGGCTTTATTCACTCAATATTATATGTTGGCATCAGTAGCACCACTTCCCTCATTTTCCTCATCTGTAGAGTATGTATTTTTTGTAACTTTTATTTTAGGTTCGAGGGTACATGTGAAGGTTTGTTACATAGGTAAACTTGTGTCATGAAAGTCTGTTGTGCAGATGATTTCATCACCCAGGCGTTAAGTCTAGTACCCAATAGTTCTTGCTTTTTGTTCCTCTCCCTCCTCCCACCCTCCACCCACAAGTAGACCCCAGTGTGGTATGTATTTTATACGAACATGGCACAATTTATCCATTTACTTGGTGAAGGACATTTAGTTGTTGATAATTTTTTGCTGCTGCAAATAATGCTGCCTCAACATTCTTAGACTTATCTCCCTATGCACATGTGCAAGAGTTTCTCTAGTTCACACCTTGAAATAGAATTGCAGGATACAGGTCATAGGACATGTATCTCTTCAGCTTCACTAAGGAATGCTAAATTGTTTCCCAAAGTGTTCGTGCCAGCCCGCACACCCACCAGCATTTTATGAGAGCTTCCATTGCTCTGCATCATCACCGACGCTTGGTATCATCCAACTTTTCTATTTTCGCCATTTTGGTGGGTGTGGAGTGTTAGTGTAGTTTGGCATTTCTCTAATTACTAATGAGAGGCAACATCTTTTCTTGTGTTCCTGAACATTCATGTAGCCTTCTGTAAAATACATTTTTATGTCTCTTGCCAAGTTTTTTTCTATCGGAATGTCTGCCTTTGTTACCAATGTACAGGCATTAATTCTATATTCTGGATGTGCTCGTGGGTTTTGTGTATGAGAAATATCTTTTCACTCACTTTTGTATTTTTAGTTGAACAAAAGTTTTACATTTTACTATTGCTAAACTTAGTTTTTTTAAATTTTCAGTTGGTACTTCTGATGCCTTGTTTAAGGAATTCTTCCTGAACTAGTGGTGATATAGATGTGATTTCTATTGCAACTTCTGTATATATCAGGCTTCCAAATGTCCTGGCTTTTACTGCGTCGTTATTCTATTGGTCTATCTCTGTGCCAAAACCATCTTAACCACTGCAACTTTATAATAACGTCCACTGGGGCAAGCTCTCTTCACTTAGTTGTTGCCATAGCTATGTTACTGTTGTCTTCTTCTCTTCCTTGCTCTCCTTTTTCTTCCCTCCTCCTCCTTCCCCCTCTCCCTCTAGTCCTCCTCCTCCTTGTTCTTATCTTCTTTCTTCTCCTGGAATATCTTAGCTATTTTTGACTATTGTTCTATATGTTATACATTTTAGAATTACCTTGTCAATTCCCACTGAAAACCTTATTTAGATTTTGATTTCAACCTTATCTCACAATTATTGAATTTATCAATTATGTTGTAAAGAATGCACGTTTGTGACATGGAATCTTTCCATGATGGAACATAACATGTCTCTCCCATTTATTTAGAACTTCGTGAACATCTTTCTATTTTTCACATAAAGATCTTGCACATTTTTGGTTAGATTTATCCCTGGGTTTTTGTTCTTTTGAAAACAGTATCTTTTTTAAAAATTATTTATGACTTTTTATTGGTAGTCTATAGAAATGCTCCGTTGGTTCCTTTTTTTAAATAAGATAGATTTTCAACTACTCAAGATTGAGACGGGAGTAGATGTGTCAACAGGAACTGGATAACTTAGATATTCAGAACAGATATTCAGCAGCAGACAAATGGCATGGCTGTGCTGATTACAAAAATCTTGAAATATTTCCATAATGGGTACCCTTGATTTCTTTCCTGTCATACTGGCCATCCTGATCTCTCCCTGGGGACAGGCCCAGACCTCTCCAAGATCCAGACACCACTGTATTAACACCAGGTATGGCACGGGGCCTCAAGTTTTGCTACATTAGGAAGGCCAGTTTCTGTTATGGGTGTTTGATTCTCATGCCTTGTGAGTTGCTACATATCTTTAATATTACTCCTTAGGTTCATATATTGGTAGTAATGTAAACACCAAGGGTAAAATATTAATCTGAGTACTTTCTCAACAAGAGGTGATCAGTTTTGGGGTTCAAGGAGGGAGTTGGGAGATCTGAGATTAAACTAAGGAAATTCTATTCAGCACTGGCCTCTGAAATCCCTGAAATCCCCTCCCCTGAAATCCCTGCAGCTTCACCATACTCCTCTTGAAGCTCCTGCAGGCACTTCAAAAGTAACATATTTTAGATTGAACACATTATCTCTGCCTGCTAAATCAGCTCTCTGTCTCTGCCTCCCCTAATTAGTGGAATTGCTTCTCTGACTACCTGTCCCCTTCAGTAGAAAATTCAAAATTATCCTAGACTGTGCCTCACCCTTATATACTCTTTTTTTGGTCACTTACCAAGATCTGACAATTGCATGCCATGAAAAAATCTTTTGAGTTTGACCTTTTCTCCAATCCCATTGCTGCTGTCTACTAAGTTTTGGAATCGTTTCCTAAATGGTGTCCTGACTTCTGTATCAGTCTACTTTCACACTTCTATGAAGAAATACCCAAGACTGAGTAATTTATAAAGGAAAAAGGTTTAATTAACTCACAGTTCTGCATGGCTGGGGAGGACTCAGGAAACTTACAATCATGGTGGAAGGGGAAGCAAACACATCCTTCTTCACAAGGCAGCAAGAGAGAGAAGTGTGCGGAGCAAAGCAGGAAGATCCCTTTACAAAACCATCAGCTCTCATGAGAACTCAATCACTATCATGAAAACAGCATAAAAGAAACTGTCGCCACGATCCACTCTCCTCCCACCAGCTCTCTCCCTAGACACGTGGGGATTATGGGGATTACAGTTAGAGATGAGATTTATGCGGGGACACAGCAAAACCATATCAGCCTCCAACCTCTTTTGCTACTGCAGTCCCTCCCCCGACACTGCTCTTGGTATTGCAGTCCCTGCCTGGTCCATAGCCTACTCCTTCTTCATCTGTGGAAGGGAGAGTAGTGGGAGCCATCAGTCTGGGCAGGGAGCAGTGTTTTATCACTGCACTGTTTAGAATGGTGCCAGTACAAAGGAGCTTGACTTTCAGCCAATTTATTATTGGGTTTAAATTCTCTACACGCAATCACTGCTTTTTCCTATACCTGGCCAGTGTTCCCACTCACTCCCCTTGGTATGATGCTGGAGGTAACATGATCTGCCATGAAGGTTAAATATAACAACATTCACTGAGAACTTAGCCCAGGCCTCTGCACATGCTGAGCATTTTGTTGATGTAACAATGATTAGTAATAGTATTGTTATTGGTTTCCCATCTCCAGCAAAGCCTTTCAGGCTTGGCCTCCCTCACTCTCTTCCACCTCCCTAAACCTTACACTCCAGCTATGCCAAACTGTTTGCTTTGCCTTGGACACACCAAGTTCTCCCATATTCCTCAAGCTTTTGCAAATGCTCCTTACTCTTCCAGAGTAATGAATGTCAATTCATCATTTAGGATCCAGCTTACAGTCATGCTTTCTCTGAAGCCTTCCTTAAATTAGCCACAAAAAAGGAGTGACTCCTCCCTGTGTTCCCATGGCCCTCTGCCTCCTCTTTAAAGTCTGCCTTCACTGGAGTTCCCGGAAGAGAGAGTCTGCACAGCACTCATCTCTGTATCCACAGTCACCAAAATTGTATCTGCCCCATAATAAATGCCCAATACTTGCAGGGATTTTGCTTGCTGGCTTGTTTCGTTTTGTTGGGATAAATGAATAAATAAATGGGAATGATTTGGACTTCACCCTAAGCCTAGCTAAAAGTTTGGGTAGTGACAGTTTTGTTTTTTTTATGTAACCTGATAGTGGATCCTTTTTTTCCATGCCTTAAAAAAAAAAAAAAAGAAAAATCCGCAAATATTAGAGTACCTGTTTTCCTAGGGAATTGGCATCAGCATCAGCAACTGAAGGAGAGGGGATTCAAGGCAGGGAGGGTGATGACTAGGTCAGCTCAGTCTTCGCAGCCGTCCCTGAGAGGGCGCTGTTCCCAAATCGAAGCCCCAGAGGCGGGGACTGAGACACGGGCGCTCTCCCACTGGACTGGGTCAGCATCCCTCACCAGGCACTGCCGCAGGTCTGGAGCAGAGCGCCTGCCCACAAACATGGCGGCGCCCTGAGCTGCTTCCCGTCGCCTGGACCGTGGGGCCAGCCCGGCCTTGCCAGTACTCGGGGACTTCCTCCGCGCGCCGGCTTCCTGCCCAGCTGGCATTTAAACCAGCGCCTGGGGCTGCAGGATGCTGCTGCGGATGCGGAGCTGTCCGCGGGCTGGGCAGCGTCGCCGCCTCCCCTGAGCCGCCTCAGTCCGGCAGGAGCGGAGCCAAAGCATCCCTTGCTGCAAGCAGAGCAGAGCAGAGCAGGCGAGGGCTGGGGGCCGATCGGGGACCCTGGCTTCGGACCCCGTCATCTGGCAGTTTCCTTGCAGGTTCGGCTTTAATTTCGAAGACTGCACCCACTCCTCCTCCAGCCCAAATCATTTATCCTCCCTCCCGCCTGGGCTGCTGGACGCAGCGGCGGCTGGGCTTGGTCCCAGGAGCAGGGAAAGAGTGCGCTCCCTGCCCCGCTAGCCGCGTGCCCGGGCCATGGTGCGGCCGAGCCCGGCGCTTGGGTGAGGCGGCGGCGCGGCTCAGAGCCCGGCGGACCGGCCTTGCGAGGCATCTTCCCCGGAGGAGGAGCCTTACCCTAAGGCTGCGTGCCGGGGTCGAGCAGCCGCCGCGATGTTCAGCTGGCTGGGTACTGACGACCGCCGGAGGAAGGACCCCGAGGTCTTCCAGACAGTGAGCGAGGGGCTCAAGAAACTCTACAAGAGCAAGCTGCTGCCCTTGGAAGAGCATTACCGCTTCCACGAATTTCACTCGCCCGCCCTGGAGGATGCCGACTTCGACAACAAGCCCATGGTTCTGCTGGTGGGCCAGTACTCCACGGGGAAGACCACCTTCATCAGGTGAGCGGGCCCAGGGTCCGGCAGCCCACCCCGGTCAGTGCCCGGCGCTTAGTCCCTCTGGTCACCCCTGGTGCTCCACCCCTGCCAGGGGACCAATGGGAAGCCTTCAGTTGAGGGCTCTGAAGAGGTGTGTTTGTGCAGGCGTCAAAAGCTTACCCCACAATTTTTGCTGGTCTCCCTCCCCAACCTATCCAATGCCTGTCCACTGTACTTGACCCTTGGGCTCTAGTGGTCAGCCTGAAGTACTAAAGTGTAAAGTCATTTCTGGTCTCCCCATCTATGGATGATGAAACCGAGGCCCAGGAGGCACCGTGGGGGAGCTCCTGGTCTCTGGAGAGCCTTATGTTGGTGGGGATATCTTACATCTTCACTTTTTAGGAACACATCATTCACCAGCAAAACCTCTTCCCTTTCTTTTCAAGGGGGCTTGGCACTCACATGGGGGCCTCACGGTTGCAGCTGAGCTCTGACAGGAGCAGGCCTGGGAACAGAAGTGGCCCGGGGATGCTACCTGTCCTCCTTTTATCATTTTCTCCTCTAAAGCAGAGCTCCTATGTGTGTATCTTGGAAACTCAACAGACGCAGGGTCCAGAGCAGAATGCTTTTTTTTTTTTCTTTCTCTTATTTGCTCTTAATGACTCAATAATAATATTAAAGTCTCTTAGAGATGGAAGGGATATTGGCATTGTCTCATCCAGTTCCTGACTTTGCAGGTGACATAACTGAGGTGCAGAGAAGTTAAATGAATTGTTCAGAGCCGTATAAAGAGTGGGCAGCAGACCTGGGATGCAAGTCCCAGATGCATGTGAGGAGCTGGTTGGCTCAACGCCTGTAACTCTGAGAGTGAGTCATCCATTCCCTTAAATTACAGAATCCTTGGGCTGGAGGGAGTCTCAAGAAGTCAACTTGTTTGCCCTGAATTCAGAGAGGTCCACAAGAGTGATGAGAATCCTTCCTATCTTTAGAGAACAGGCTCCTCTCTGGTCCTCAATCCTCCCAACCTTCAAGGCCAGCCATTTTTCTTGGCCTCTTTTACAGCCATTCCAAACTGTTGAGAGTGCTGTGGCCCTCTGTCTTAAGAGTCAGGCTCCCACAGCCTGAGAATGGAGTTTGGTGGCCCCTCAAAGTCAAGCATGCTCATTTCCTGCAGAGGGCTTGGAAAGCAGGGGTACTTTTGTTCCTATTCATCGGTTCTTTGAGCGTCTGCAACATGCAAAATGCTGTGCTTTGTTTGGTGAGGAGAGCAGAAAAGTTAACAGTCTAGTTACTAATTGTCTAGGTGCTAATTTTCTCTAACATCAACCTTGTAATGCAAGCCTTCTGGAAGTAGCACCATGCCAATAGGTCATGTCTCAACACAACACCACATTGAGTTTGTCCTTGTGGAGTGCATAGCCTAGGGCTCAGAAGCTTTGAGAGGCCAAGTGATTTTTTTTTTTTTAAACAGTCTTGCCCTGTTGTCCAGGCTGGAGGCAGTGGCGCGATCTCAGCTCACTGCAACCTCTGCCTCCCAGGTTCTAGCGACTCTCCTGCCTCAGCCTCCCAAGTAGCTGGGATCACAGGTGCCCACCACCATGCCTGGCTAATTTTTTGTATTTTTAGTAGAGATGGGGTTTCACCATGTTGGTCAGGCTGATCTCCGACTCCTGACCTCATGATTCGCCCGCCTCAGCCTCCCAAAGTGCTGGGATTATAGGCATGAGCCACTGCACCCAAGAAGCCAAGTGATTTCTGAAGTAGTTTGGGATCTGGAGGTGAAGGGCCTGTAGGCTCTTGTATGTTTAGTAATCTAATCAGTTGCTTCTTAACCTTCTATTTTTAGAAAAATGTATATATATCCCAATAATGTTGGGGGTCCAAGGGCCATCTTTGGATCTTAGGGTGGGAACCCCTGATCTAAGCCATGCCTCTTATTTTATTAAGCACCCATTGCAGCCAAAGGCACTTCAAAGCTGCCTGGGTTGTGTGCAAGGTTTCCTTTGTGAGCTCTGTCCTCCATTTGGCCCATTCATGCCTCAACAGAAGTGCAGGCCATTTGCAGATGGCCTCTGCTCTCTCACAGCCTTCCCTGGCTCTCTGGACATACGTTATTATAACCTTTCATACGTTAGCTGGAGCTTCTCCTTCCTGGAGTATGAGCACTGACCAGACAGCATCTATGCCTTAGCATATCTGGGGCCTCCCCCAGGTCTCAGCTATAGGAGGTTCCCAGCAGACATTTTGCAGAATGGGAGGGAAGATGGGGAAAGACAAGGATGCCCAAGCAGCAGACAGGTTTAAGTGCCTTTTGTCTGAGACACTCTCTAGGCTTTGCCTGAGTCATCGCTGGCTGTTAACTGGGTCTAAGAAAGTGGCAGATTCAAATTGCCACAGATGATTCCTTATCTGAGGGAGCCAGCAAGACTGGAGAGGCAGATCACTCTTCTTTCTTATCCTCCATGTGCAAGAGTTCCCTCTCCCCACTCATGTCAGCGACTGAATTTAGCTCATGCATCAAAAGCAGTCTCCCTTTGAGGGAGTGTCAGCCAGCACCATAGGAGGGGTCGTAACACAGGGAACCCTCCAGAACCAAATCAT